TGCTCGGGGGCCTCTGAAGCCCTCTGGGGGCCCTGTTGGTGGCATTTGGGGCTGTGTCGAAGTTGCAGTGGGCGATCTTGGGCCGATCTGAGAGGTCCGGGAGGCCCGAATGGGGGTTCCGCGAAGTCTGGGACGACCAAGTGGCGGCCCGAGTGGGGGACCAGAGAGAGCCCCAGGAACCCCTGGGGCCTTTTTTTGGCTTTTTGGCTCGCCAGATTATATTGTGTGTGCGTGTGTGTGCGTGTGTGTGAGAGAGAGAGAGAGAGAGAGAGAGAGAGAGAAAGAGTGTGTGTGTGTGTGTGAATGTGTGTGTGTGTGTGTGTGTGTGTGTGTGTGCCGCCCATCTGTGTCAGCTTCCTGGTGTGAGATACTTTATACAGATAAGTGAATGCGTTTGAATGTATGCGTGTATGCACATATATATACACACGCCTGTATACACATTTACGTCGACTGCGCGCGCAGTGCGAACTCTTTCCAAAACCTTCATCACCGACGCGACGACGCCGTCATCGTCGTCGGCGTGATCAGCATCGGCGCTCGCACTGGCCGCGTCGCCGTCGTTGTCAACATCGACACCAGAATCGCTACTATGATCATCGTGTTTACCGTTGTCGACGTTGCCATGATGCCGCGCCCACCCAAGTCGCAGACTCGCACTGGAGTGTCCGCTGGGATGTGCCCAGCGGTCAGCGCCACCGCGGCCGCGTCCGTCGCGCCAAACTAGTTGGCCGCTGCGCGCGAGTGTTTGGTTTCGCGCGGCCGCAGAGATGCACCAGCCAACGCCAAGCACTCATCGCAATCGCCACCGAGTGGGTTTTGCAAGCCAAGTTGCGGGCGGGTGGGTGGGATGTTTGCAAGAGCATGGAATGGGTCAGCTCGTTTGTACCAATCAAGATCATACCATAGATTGCGCCACATCTACTGTGCAACGTATATTGCACAACATGGGTTGCACCACGTTGGTTGTTTCGCATCGATTGCAACACCTAGCCGTCGTCACGTATAACGGCAAAATAGATTGCACACTGTGTGTGCATGTGCACATATGTGTGCGTGTATATATACACATGTGTAAACATCAATATAGATAGCACAGCATGGGTTGCACACCACGGCTGCACCACATCGGTTGCTTCACACAAATTGCGCAACAGTTCTTGCGCCCCACACGTCGCAGCACATGGACTGCACACCAGAGGTTGCACAACATAGGTTTCATGTCTAAAAGAAGAATAGACTCTACCCCCCCCCGGAGCTAACGGTACACATTTTCGTATTGCGATTTACATATGGTTCTGCACACTCGTTCATCCTAAATATGAATTCGCACTATCCCAGCCAGGCCGGCGTCGCCCCCCCACCACCCTCTGCAAAACATATATATATATATATATGTGTATATATATATATATGTGTGCGCGCGCTCGTTTATCAATTGTCCCAGCAAAGCAACCTAACAGCGATGTGTAGAAGCATATCTGAAAGCATTCCCCTTAAGATTCAGATGAAAATCCAGTTGTAGAATTCTGCTGTTCTCGCAGTCGTAGTCGCATTCGCGATGACAGTCGCAGCGGCAACGGCAGTCGCAGTCACAGCCTCAACCTCAGCCTGCCTCAGCCTCAGCCTCAGCCTGCCTCAGCCTCAGCCTGCCTCAGCCTCAGCCTCAGCCTGCTTCAGCCTCAGCCTCAGTCTGCCTTCAGCCTCGGCCTCAGCCTCAGCCTGCCTCAGCCTCAGCCTGCATCAGCCTCAGCCTCAGCCTCAGCCTCAGCCTGCCTCAGCATCAGCCTGCCTCAGCCTCAGCCTCAGCCTGCCTCAGCCTCAGCCTCAGTCTGCTTCAGCCTCAGCCTCAGTCTGCCTTCAGCCTCGGCCTCAGCCTGCCTCAGCCTCAGCCTGCCTCGGTCGCAGCATCAGCTTGCCTCAGCATTCAAAATGTGGCCCAGGAATGGAGTTCTGGGAACTAGAAGAACACGAAGTGGCCTACAGTTGGCTCCGGGCATTCAAAATCATGCCCGGGAATGGAGTTCTGGGAACTTGAAGAGCACGAAGTGGCCTACAGTTGGCTCCGGGCATCCAAAATGTGGCCCAGGAATGGAGTTCTGGGAAGTCGAAGAGCACGAAGTGGCCTACAGTTGCTCCGGGCATCCAAAATGTGGCCCAGGAATGGAGTTCTGGGAAGTCGAAGAACACGAAGTGGCCTACAGTTGGCTCCGGGCATTCAGAATGTGGCCCGGGAATTGAGTTCTGGGAGGTCGAAGAGCACGAAGTGTTTGACTGTTGGCGAAAAGCGAGCCCGGCTCGGTTCCCGGTTCTCCAGAATGTGGCCCGGGAATGGAGGTTCTGGGAGGTCGAAGAGCACGAAGTGTGTGACTGTTGGCGAAAAACGATTCCCGGTTCTCCTCCCCGGCACCCGCCCAGACCCCCCTGAGGAGTCATGATGCTCTCTTTTGACCCTACTAGAAACCTATCAGCAAACGCTGTTAAGTAAAAATCAAAAGTTGTCAAGCATCCCTTGCTAAAAAACTGGACGAAGAGCACACGCGCGCGTCGTCGCGCGCGCATGCCGAAATCTTTTAAACACCTTCGGTTCCGGACGGGTTTCACAGTCGAGTTCCCCCCAAGAATGCACAAGCACAGGTTTTCGCAACACTGATGTTCTAAAAAAGATTACACGCGCGCTCTTGCGAAACCTTGCCAAAACCATTTGTTTTTCAACATGTTCAAAACAATCCTACCAAACGGGCTTCGCGCGCGCGCATGTCGAAATCTTTTTCGAACGCCCCTGCGCGCGTGCCGTCGCGAGAAATCCTATGCAAAAAACGGGACGAAGTGCGGACGCGCGCGTCGTCGCGCGCGCATGCCGAAATCCTCCAAAAACCTTCGGTTTCGGAAGGGTTTCAAAATCGTGCCCAACATGCAAAACACAGGGTTTCGCAACACGGATTTTCAACCAAAGCGCAAGCGCGCTCTTGCGTCGTCGTCGTCGTCGCCGTCCTCCCTCCTCCCTCGTCGTCGTCGTCGTCGCCGTCGTCGTCCTCTGTCTTTCCTCGTCGTCGTCCTCTTTGGCGTCGTGGTCGTTTCCGTCGTCGTTGTCGCCGTGGTCGTCCTTCCTCCTCCTCCCTCGTCGTCGTCGTCGTCCGTCGACGGCGTCTCGTCGTCGTCCCTCCTATTTCGTCGCCGTCGTCGTCGTCGTCGTAGTCTTCTTCCTTCCTCCCTCGTCGTTGTCCGCCCTCCTTCGTCGTCCGCGTCGTCGCTGTCCTCCCTCCTCCCTCGTCGTTGTCGTCGTTGTCGCCGTCGTCCTTCCTCCTCCCTCGTCGTCGTCGTCTTCGTTGGCGACGTCGTCGCCGTCGTCGTCGTCGGCGTCGGCGTCGTCGTCGTCTTCGTCGTCGTCGACGTCGGCGGCGTCGTCGTCGCCGTCGTCGTCGTCGTCGTCGTCGTCGTCGGCGTCGTCGACGTCGTCGGCGGCGTCGTCGTCGTCAGCGTCGTCATCGTCGTCGTCGTCGTCGGCGTCGTCGTCGTCGTCGTCGGCGGCGTCGTCGTCGCCGCCGACGTCGACGTCGTCGTCGTCGGCGTCTTCGACGTCGTCGGCGGCGTCGTCGTCGTCAGCGTCGTCATCGTCGTCGTCGTCGTCGGCGTCGGCGTCGTCGGTATCGTCGTCGTCGTCGTCGTCGTCGTCGTCGAAGTCGTCGTCGGTGTCATCGTAGTCGTCGTCGTCGGCGTCGTCGTCGTCGACGTCGCTGTCGTCGTCGGCGTCGGTGTCGTTGCCAAGTGCCATTTGGTACCTACCGTCACGGTCTTAAGAGGTTTCGCAAACCAAGTTGCGGGTGGGTGGGTGGGATGTCTGCAAGAGCATGGGATGTGTCAAATCATGGGTATAAATTAATTGTATAACATAGATTTCACCACATAACTTACGACAGCATATCTTGCTCTACATCGATGGCGCAAACCAGATTTCTGGAAACATACGGTCTGGGGTCCACACGGGCTAACGTACATAAGCAACTGAGAAGATTTCCTAAACAATGCTTGCACTTCAGGGTTCTTACATCTGTTGTCAGAAGCTGGGGCTGCGGGCCGCTCTGGCCGCCATGTGGCCGCCGTCGCCGCCTCGTCGCCGCACGTCGCCTAGGCCTGCGGGCCGCTCTGGCCGCCATGTGGCTGCGCTGCCCGTCGCCGCCTCGTCGCCGCCCGCGCCTCGTCACCACTCGCTGCGCATGGTTTCGCATTGTTTTTTGTACAGTCGGTCGTCTTTCATGGTATGGCACTGCTTAGACTTGCCTGGCATTTTTGTGCATTGCTTTACGTAGTGTTGCGTGACCTTGCACTGCTTTGCGCTATGTCTTTGCAGTCGCCCTGCTTTGCAATCGCATTGCATTGCACTTGTGTGCATTGCTTTGTATTGCTTTGTACTGCTATGTCGTGCTTTGCATTGCTCTGCATTGACATGCATTGATTTGCAATGCTTTGTATCACGTTGCATTGCGTTGCTTTGTTTTCGTTGTAGTGTCCTCCTTTGCGTTGCTTTGAACTGCTCGGCATTGTTTTGAATTGCTTTGCCTGCTATGCGTTGTCTTGCATTGCCTTGTGGTGTTTCATTTGCGTTGTGTTGTATTGTGTTGCATTGCGCTGCGTCGCATTACTTTGCGTTGCTATGCGGTGCCTTGCACTGCTTTTTATTGCAATCGCATTGGATTGCTTTCGATTCCGCCACATCGATTGCACCATGTGGACTGCACCACCTAGATTGAACCACATTGAGCGCACCACATTACAATGCACCACTGTTTGGGGCCCACGCTGGCTACAATACATGGATGTACACATTTAGATGTGCTATGTCTATTTGTGTGTATGTGTATGTATACAATTCGAGTTGTGTGTGTATATACATATACACCTATACGCATGGAGCCCCAAAAGGCCGCGATCCTTGAACCCTCTCTGGCGCGAAGCCGGACGCTGCAAGTCTCAAGGGGGGGGCGGGGCACGGGGAGCGCCTGCCCGGCCAGCGCCCGCAGCTCGTCGGGGCCCATGGCCGGGCCGAAGATGCTCACGTTCGGCGCGCAGGCCAGCATCGACCTCGGCCCGCGGGCGGCCCGAGCGGCCCACCCCCTGCAGGAACATCGGCTTGCAGGCTGCGTGTGTGACGGATTCGACAGGCCTGTTCGACAAACTCTAGAAGTGGCGTTTCCCCCCCGAGGGGAAGGAGAAGTGCGTGGACATCGAGGCGATGACGATGAGGGACGAGAAGAGTGCCCGGGATGGCAACCGGCTCCGTTGGGGGCATGGAGCTGCACAGCTGGCCAACAACCTGACGACATGTCATGAACTGGGCCAACTCCGGCTCCATGTGAGTGCGTGGGGAAACCAAAAGGTACCGATACCACTACTCCCCGGACCTCTCCCGGGTCGCGTTCTGACCAGGATTTCGAGGCGAATCCAGCGGTGGCGACGAGGGCCGCCCAGGAGGCCGAAAAAGAGGAAAACGAGGAAAGGGTAGAGGTATGGGTACCTTTTCCTCCTCTGAATGTGTGTATGTGTGTGCAAGTTCCAGAGCTCCAGGCGCAAGACGGCGGAAGGAGCGAAGCCGTTCGGGAGTCGGAGAGTGCGCTCGACCGGCAGGCTCCACGAAAACAGTGGGCTTCAGGGCATGAGTTCTGAGGGTTTCCCTAAGGGTGACAACTCCGACACCGAGAGGAGGCATAGCTAGGATAAGTTTACCTCGTGCAAATACATGTGTGCATTCAAGCTTGTGCATCCGTCGTGCGCCGCTTTTGCCCCAGGGTGTGACCTCCACGAACCTCAACGGTGAGAACTATTCTGCGGGGTCGCGCAAGGCGACCCCATCTTTATTATTGATGAGCCGAAGTGCTCTGTGCTCTGCTGAGTAACAGCAGGGAGGGATATAGAGAGTATTCATTTTGTTGACAGGTCGAGCCCAATACGAATCGAGACTGCTGCGAAGAGCCCGTGTACTACGCGCGCCATCCCCCGCAAATACCCCCCCAGCAGCTTGACAAACATCGAGACGGCAGGTGCTTCACCACTTGACGCCAGTCTCGGGCCTGGGGGCCATCGAAAACGCCCCAGGATGAAACGCCCGCCCTGGGGCAGGGGTGATGGAGGCCCGCTCCTCCGACGTTGCAGCTTCTTCGTGGCATGCGCCCCTGGCGCCTCGACACTGTGCCCCGGAGGGCCTTTTCATCCTGAGCCGTTTCTTCGACGGCCCTGGGGCCTGGAAGCGTCCTTCAGAAACTTTGTTTGTCGGCGGCCACTTGGGTCCAAGAAGCGGTAAGGCAACTGTGGGACGCACAGGAGCATAATGCGGCGCGGGCGGAAGCGGGGAAGACCGAAGGAATCAAACGCACAGAAGGGGGAGAGGAAAAGCGAACGTCCTCCAGAAACACAAAGTGCAGAAAAACCGGCCATCGTGACTTTTGTTGCGACGCCCGGATCTGAGAGGAGCTCCGCGGGCCCACGTCTCGAAAACAAGCTGTCCGCCAGCCGCCCTGGGCGCACGCGGCAGGGGATGCCAGTCCCATCCGGCGGACGCCCACCGCTGAGCGGCAGTGCGACCACGCGAGAATACCCTCCCCTCTTCCCCAGAGATCCGACGTCGTGATTTTTTCAATGCGGGGTCCCTGGAGGTCCCGACCACTTCCCCAGGACCGGTTTTTCATCCTGAGTCGTGTTTTGACGGTCCTGGGGCCCGGCGAGGGCCCCTGGAGGCCGAAAAGGGCGACAAACATCCGTCTTGATTTTTTCAATACGTTGGATCTGTGGGTCCTGTGAGGCCCCCCATGGAGAAAGTCGTGTCGGAGGCTTTCACCGCCTTCGGCCTCCAGGTGCAGCTCCCCGTGGGGCGCGGTCCGCGTGGGGGGGCGGGGGCGCTGGGCGGCAGGCCCACGTGCGAATCCGCCCGCAGGGGCCGTCGGTGGAGCTCCCCGCGGGGGCGCCCGATCTGCGTGAGGTGTGCGCCGAAGCGTCACCGCACCGACCTTGCAGGCGTGCCTGCAGCGAGTTTTTGAATGGATTGCTGTTCGTGCAAAACCCCGAAACGGCGAGTCAAAAACGAAGTGAATTTCGCATGTGTTGTTCCTCCTCGAAATCCAGAACGAAGTTCTCCAGGTTACTCCAGGCCCATCCCATTTTCTTCCGAGCGAAATCCGCTCTGCGATGTTGGCGCCACGAGAAGTGGGCGGGCGACGGGGCAGAGAGGGGCTTGCGTCTAGGACTTGCGGCTGGGACTCCGGCCCCTGGGCCGCGTTGACACCCCAGCGTGGACGGGCAACCGCCCCGCTGGGCCTGCGGCAGCCACGCCAGTGGACGTGACCGCAGCGCGGTCTGGCCTCCCTCCCGCGGGGGAAGGAGGAGTTCTGTGTGGAGGGAGATGGGAGCGGACAGCTATGGAATACACAGCTCGCCCCCTGAGCGCCCCAGCAACCTTCATTTTCGTCGCAAGGCTGTCCTGCGACCGTGGTCGAAACTCGAGGCAGGGATGATTTGGGCCAAGCCAGAGGTACGTGGCTGCGGGGAGGAAGAGGTGGGTTGGGCGCAGGAGGAGCGGAAGGGGTCTGGGGGGAGGAGACGCGCGGCGCAGCAGAGAGAAAGCGAGGGCCCAGCAGCACAGGAGGGTTGGGAAGAAATCAAGGCATCGGAGGTCTGAGCCGCCGGGGAGCAGAGAAAAAACATCTCGGCAAGACACCCACATGGCAGCAACGGAGCTAAGGTGAAGAGGCTGGCCGAGGAGTAGTAGAAGGTCGGCGATAGGGGACCGGGGTGAGAGCACGACCATGTGCACCTAAGTGTATTTGTTAGAATGGATCTGGGCCGTCCGGGCCAAAGAGAATAGCCAACATGGGGGGCGGTCCCGGGCTTCCCGTCCCCCCTGTGGGACTTTCTGTGGTTCCTACCTTTATAGAAACCCCTAGCGAAACGCTATTAGTGCGTGTGTGTGTGTGTGTGTTGTGTGCTGTGAGTGTGTGAATCCATCCAGTGCCTGTTTGCGCGACGCCATCGTTAGCGATCGCAGGCTGTGCGCCTTCACGGTTGCCCTCCAAACAGGGCTGCGCATGGGACGAACATTGCACGCCAATGGAACCCCGTCCGCGCATCTGGTGTCTGGGTGTGCGTGTGTGTGGTGTCTGGTGTGCTGTATTGAGCCCTCAGTTGTTGGTCACGCCCCGTCTTGATACCCAACTTGCAGTACCGATATGTAGCTGCAAGCTGAAGCCTGTCGCGATTCGGACTTCTGACTCGACATCCCAACATTGAGTTGTTGTCCGTCTCGGTCTGCAGCCTGCCCCCCAAGGCCCCAGCCAAGCATGCGAGGGGAGCTGGGAGCGTTCTCCTTCGGAACAAGGAACAGCGACACCACCACCAGGGACCGGACCACCAGCAGGAGGAGACAGAAGGGTCCCCCTGGTTGTGGGGTGTTCCCCTCTCGCTCGAGATACCCACTATCCCCAGCTCGGGGAGGCATCATGGACCTTCTCGCTGGAGGTGGCCCCCTGGTGTTGAGCAGGGACCGACCGTCCCGGCATTCCTATAGGCCTACCATGACATGTTCTTAGAACCCCCGAATTTCCTAATATCAAAAACATTGTTCTTAGAACGTAAGCCCGGGTGTTCAAAACAAGACAACATCGGCCAGAAATGTTCTGAGAACATCCCGTAGAAGCCACAACAGGTTCTTAGAACATTGCCTGGTGGCCCTATAGGCACGCCAGGACGCTTCGCCACTGCTTGATGGTGGTGGTGTTAGGTCGGGCATGTCATCCTACAGGCGGATTTCAGACGAAAAATTTGAAATACTTTAAAACATACCCGAAAATGATAAAAACAATTGTCAAACATCGTCCTGTAGAGGGACACGCCCGACTTAATGGTGGTGTCGCTTCTCCTTCCCCCGACTCCAGGGGTGCTGACTCGACTCCAGAGCGCCGGCGCTCCGCCCCTGGACTGCGAGCGTCGAAACCTCAGCGACCTGCAGCTCAGGCGCGGGGCGGGAGGGGAGAGGGAGAGGGGACAGGGAGGGAAGTGTCAGCGACGTTTGGGGGGGCGGACGGGGAATTACACCAGAAGACAACCCCAATCAATGGATGGCTTGATCGATCAAGAGATCGCCCGGGAACCCGGGAACCCGGAACCCACCGAAATCGGCCCGCAACCAATAACCCAATAACCAAGAACCCGGGAATCCCAGATCCGGGAACCCGGGAACCCAGCCGGCCACCAAAATCGGCGGGACACTTTCGCTAAATCTTTCAATTTCCGCTAAGACCCCTTCAGTGCAAGCACTGATTGGGGGAATTCGGTCGGGAGCTCTTGCTTACTGCTTAGCGTGTCGCAGCGGCGGCCCCTGCGATGCGCCATGACCTGCAAGTGGATAGCGTGTCGCTCCGCTTCGCGGGGCGAGGGGCTCAGAAATGCTCGGGTCGTTGAAGCCTGGGGACTGGGAAATGGATCGCCTGCCGCGCCGAAGCGCAGCGGGCCAGAACCAGCGGCGCGAGACGCTGAGCCACATTTCGTTAGCACCAGGAAGCTGGAAAACACATCTACGCGCAAACACTTGTCCCCCCTCCGCCGGCGGTGTGGCGCCACAGTCGCGATGATGCTACGGTGGGCTATGTAGACATCGAAGTGAGCTGCCAACCTGCGATGAGGACGGCACGCGCGGATGACAACGACTCCGAAGGGGTTCGTGGGCGGGAAAAGAGTGTGCAGGATGAGACTTGGGGAAGCAGCAGTGGGGAAGTGGAGGCTGCGGGCGCGCCAACGCTGCAATCCGTCAGAACAAGAGAGGGTGAACGCCCCGTGCGTGCACATGCACGGGGACACAGACGGACACGCTAGTCCCTTGCGTCATCCTTGGAGGCGTGCGTCCGGCCAGGTCATAAAATACAACATAATCGAAATCCGCATATGGACATACAATATATATATATACACATATATATATAGAGAGAGAGCACCAGAAACGCTCCTCGACGCCAGGCAGGAGGCTGAGAAAGCTCGGGACCCAACGAGACACCCCAAGGACTACAGAATTGTGCGAGGTTCACTTAGGGCCCCACCTT